TTCAGACATTTATGAAAAAATATTTGGGCCTTAAAGTAACTGGAAAATTAGCTCTAAAAGTGAACCTATCTCCCCTGAAAAGAACTTAAGGTTTACAGGTTACTTTAGTATTGGTGAGTAACTCCTATTTTCTCTTCCTGACTGCCCTAGGGAGGAAATTCCCATCCTCTCAGTCTCACTCAGATCACTATTCTCATTCTCATTTTTGTTTAGATGTTTATTCAACAAATCTTTCCTTAAGAAGCTTTAAAATTTAAGGCAATAATTCTCAAACCCTCAAGTACCTTCAAGATTTCAGTAAAATGAATGTTCCTTCTGTGTGTCTAGGAGGGCTAACCTTTGAAAAAAAAAAAACAACCAAAAACCTTCCTATTCATTCAAGGCCAAGTGCAATGGCTCACACCTGTATCCTAGCACTCTGGGAGGCCAAGGTGGGAGGACTGCTGGAGCTCAGAAGTTCAAGACCAGCCTGAGCAAGAAGCAAGACCCCATCCCTACTATAATAAAATAAAAAAGTTAACTGAGTGTGGTGCCACATGTTTGTAGTCCCAGCTACTCGGGAGGCTGAGGCAGCAGGACTGCTTGAGCCCAGGAGTTTCAGGTTGCAGTGAGCTATGATGATGTCACTGCACTCTACACAGGACAACAGAGAGAGACTCTGCCTCAAAAAAAAAAAAAAAAAAAAAAAAAAAAATTCAAAGCTTACATTTTATTATATATCTGTCTAAATATTAAAATACTTTAATTTAGTCACCACTTAAATTAACTTTTTGTCAAAAAAAGTTTGCAGAAAATCTTTGCCCCTGACATATCACTAAAAATTGGAGTTTATATAATACGCAATGTAAAAGATTACATACTTCATGATATCCTCTACATAAAGTTAATAAAAAATACTTTTGAGGAACACATTTTAAAATGCCACAAAATTATAAAAAGAAAAACAAAGAAACAAATCCCAAATTCAGTCAAAACTGGAGAAATACTAAATTTCATTTAGAGCTTAGTAAAAATAAAGATGTAATTGTTTTCCTTTATCCAAGTTCAAAGACCCTTCAACTCTACCCATGGATGGTAGGTTAAGAATTCATCTTCTAAAGGAAAAGAGAGAGTAAGTACTAACACTAAATAAACTTATTATCATAAATGGAGCTACAGCCCATTCTACTATCACAGGAATGGAAAAACAAGCACCATATGTACTCACCATCAAATTGGTACTAACTGATCAACACTTATATGCACATATGGTAGTAACATTCATGGGGTGTCAGGCAGGTGAGAGGGGGAAGAGGGGACGGTTATACTCATACCTAATGGGTATGGTGCACACTGTTTGGGGGATGGGCACACTTGTAGCTCTGACTCAGGCAGGGCAAAGGCAATATATGAAAGCTAAACATTTGTGCCCCTGTAATATTATGAAATTTAAAAAAAAATTTTAATCAATAAATATCAGTTTTAAAAAAACACTAAATGTGTTGCAGCATCCCTGATAATCACTACACACACTTCATGTCATTAAACTCTCACAATACCATTCCACAGATCAGTCAGTTTACAGAGGTTATTTGTATAAGGTCACATGGTCAAAAATGGATACAAACTATAGTGTGACTCCACATAAGATTCTAACAAAGCACCTCTAAAAACTTTTCCGGCTTCTAGCTAAGGAATTGTTTAAGAACACTTTACTAATTATATTGTAACTCATAAATGTTCTCATTAAACAACTTTTTGTTTCAACATCAGGTTAAAACTATAATCAAATGCAACACTTCCTAGAGTTACATATGGAATAATTATTAGTATAACAGCAGCAGCTACCCCAAAGGAAAAGGGTGAACATAGAAGCTCCCCACACTTGTACAAATTTAAAAGGTAAATTTCTGACTTCATTTTCCAACTATGTCACAGTTGTTTGTATCCTTCTAAGGTGTGCATATGCCTATTTATGCTTTTTCCCCCATTCATAAAACTTTTATTTCACTTACATAAACTTAATACATGTTCTTAACAATTATGCTTGGATTGTTCATAACATTTTCCTAAGACTATAAACAGAGCTAGCCATCATCTCAAGTTATTTCCCTGATATCTATTTTCACATTAAATGCATATTAGGCAAGTATCAAAAAAAAATCACAAAAGCAAAAACCCTAAAACTTAAATATGTGGGTTTTTTAATTTTTGTTTTACTGATCTGCTTGATACATCTCCACTTGATATACAGATATCAAGTAATTCATTTGTACTGCATCTTTTTACTTTTACACACACTTGTTCTTAAGATGCCTAAAATATTTAAATACAAATAAAATGAATGCAGAAAAAAAAAAAGAAAGCAAACCATAACTTTACAAATAATGGAATGTGAACCATTTTTGCCTTTATCCAGAGTAAACTGGGTCACAACTTTGTCTAAAGGAACACTTCTGCAATTGTAGTCTAATGTTAAGCACATTGAGATTGAGTATTTCACAGATATGGTTTAACACGTGGTATCCAAGAAATATCTGTTTCTGCCACAGCCTTGTAAGTGCTCCAAACCTTAAAGTGCCCATAATAACTACACCTGTGACTAGAACCAATTATCCCTTTTATTCCCCACCAGGACAAACTGAAACGTAGACAGTACTCTGTGCTTAGACATGGGAGCAGTTTTAACACCGGCCCTTGTGAAGCCACAACGTACAAAAAGTACTATGCCAAACATTTGTAACATGTATAAAAATTCCACATCTCCATACTCGCCACCACAAGATGAAAACAGGTAATTCCTTAAATGCTAACTGGCTCTACTCCCCTAATATTAAACAGAAAAACCACATGGAAAATAAGAAATTCAAATACAAATATGCCATACAATATGCCATTATGTATGGCATAATACAAATATGCCATAAATCTATTGGTGGGACAGCATGGAAGAGAAATGGTATACTGTGTAAATTTTAGAATGAGGCAGACAAAAGTTGGAAGGCCAGCTTATTAGGTAAACTTGTAAACATATTAGATAACTAGGGACTATTTTCTTCTATATATTTTAAACTATAGCAGTTTCTGAGTTTATCCAGCTAAGTATCACTAATTCTATTTTCTTAGAACAAAAAGTTCTCAGAACAATGACCTATATCCCCTAAACTTCATTTTCAAATGAATGTGTAACTGGCAGACAAAATTAACAGAGACTTTCTAAAAATAGTAAGTCTTCAATAATTCTTCTATTCTATCTTTAAAATTTCTTAGTTAATATATGTTACTCTATGAAAGGTATATCCAAATTATGATTTTTTTCCCCACAATAAGCCAATATATCAAAAATTATAACTAAACAGATCTGGAATTGAAGCCTCAGCCTGTCCTTTAGCAGCTATGTTCTTTGACAAATGACTATAAACTTCTTTAGATTTCTAGGTTTCATATTGTTAGTCATTGGCAACTGATAATCATAAGAAATTCTCATTATGTAAGGATTGAAATAAAAATGGTTGTAGAGCACTAAGCAAAGTATAAAACATTATTCATGCAATTTCCTTAATTTGGGGTTTACTTTTAAGTTATAAATTTTCCCTTAGTAATGTTCACAGAGGGTCTTTGCTAAAATACTGTTTTTTAGTTAGTTTTAGCTGATTCTTTAAATAACAAAAGATTTGCTTGAGAGAAGGATTTTATCTTTCTTTGGAAGGAGCCAAGATCATCTCCATTTAAGGACACAGAAGCAGCTGCTGCTACACATTTTAGTTACCCATGAAGAAAGTGAGGTGGGCCTAGTTCACTCTTATATAAGCATTTAAAAATTAAAACTTACAAATAACTACTCCAAAATTAAAGAATTAAGAATTAGAATTTGCAACTGTGACGATTTAAGTAAATCTAATATATAAAACAACAAATTAGAAAAATAGAAAACAGGAATATGATGCCTGGCTTTTCAAAATGATTCTTTTTCCAGTTCCACTGTAAGATAAATTGGTCTAAGAAGTTCAAAATATCATCCTACTTACTTAAATATCATTTATATAGTAATTTTCAGGGAAGCATCTGCTGGATTAAATGAAGCACATCCCTTTAGGACCACCATACAATTTAAATTTCAACAAATGCGAACCTATGTCAATAAAGCCTCATTAACTAAGATACGCCTGATTAGTAATCTACAATTATTTTTTTTTTACTAGAAAGTTGTCCTTGATACTGTGCCAGCTTATTAAATAATTAGTAAGATATAATAATTTAATGTGGCTGTTAAATCTTAAAGACTTAAAATTGATATATTGCTTTTTTTTGCAGTGATACATATCAGTTTAAATATGGGAATTACAATTCACAAATATATTGTTAAACTGCTAACTGAAGAAAACATAAATGAATTAAATACATTTATTAGTTTTCACTTTATAAGGTAAAGGTGATTTTTTAAAACCAAATGCAGTTATTAGACTGGTTTTCTCATACACACTCCCTCCTCCATACACACCTATATAGATACAAGAAACAAAAACAAAATAAGAAGAGAAAAAGTATAAAATTTGATTCTGTGAAAATGTTTAATTATTGTCTTGCTAGAAACCAACATGAAGAAGCTGCAGTATTAAAGCAACAGAAGCAACATTCAAGGAAAGTTGTTTCACTTACACCAGTATTATTCTCATTCTATTAAAATTTCTATTATAATTATTTTAGCTCTTTATCACCATAATATACAATTATCTTTAAGCCTGAGATGCATGAATCTTTAATGAGAGCTTTCTACCAACCCATATTTACTTTTTGCATTTATCTGCCATATATGTTTTAAAATTAAAAACAAAAAATGAAGTACAAAGTGTTAATGACCTTTCCATACCAAAAGTAAGATAAATGAAGTTCTACAGTTTGGTTGTGATAAGACTAAGACTATGACTAGCCAATCATAACATCTGAATTCCTGTGTGACATCATAAGACCTCCCTAGAACACTTTTTCTCCTCCACCTACTGCAACTGTTCCCATAAACCTGGTAACAAGAGTCAGAAAACTTCCCAGCTAAACGCAAATAGACTTCACACAATCCAATACTCTATATTGTGATGATCGCAGCAGCTAAGGTAAGAAATAGATCTCTCTAATTTTGGTAATTCTTACTTTTCTATAATTCAAATTTACAAAACTTTTAAGAGAGTTAATTATACTTTGTAAATTTCAGTTCAAAGTTAATAAAATGTTTAATATGACAAATTAATTTTTACATAAATGCTTAATCTGTTTAATTACAGTAAGAATGAGACTTAACATTGAAATGGAAAGGGTCACATTCATCTTTGATCCTGGTTATTGGTTTGTCATTTTAATTTAACTGTCACTTTTATTTTGCTTTTCAAATGAGAATTTCTGACAATTAAAAAAATCTTCCAATTATGTTACCATATTTGGTGGTAGTGGTGGTTTAATATTTCCACACAAAAACAATGACAATTTTGTTCTCTATTACTCTGCTAAGAAAGAGTGCAAAAGAGAGCTGTGTATTTACATATAGAATAACATGAATAGTCATGTGACTACATCATGTATATTATCAACATACCTATTCCAACATTATCACTATGATTCCTTATAGTGAATATTAATAAGATAAAATTTAAGAATATATAATACAAACTACTTTTTAAATGCTCTTGAGGATTTTTCCTGTTTATAAAATCCAGTCAACTTTTAATAAACACTTCTAAAAATTCTATGCTTTTAATAAATTTAGTTGCTTATATTAAATTGAATACTATATCATAAAGAAGTTTGGAAATTTTAAAACATTTGTCATAAATACATATAAAAGTCTTTCTAATGTTACAGAATAATAATTTGACATTTAAGAGACATTATTTTGGCACATAAATATTTCTAAATATCTCTTTTGAGCAAATTTAATAAAATGAATATTTATTCTGCCTATTAATTAATATACCTTTGGAACGTTATTATCCTCTGGTGTACTCAGTTTCTTCTCCTGAATTTAGAATGAAAAAAAGAAAGAAAAGGAAAAAAAATGCCCAGGAATGGCTATATGGCAATAAATTTTATGACTTCTATGCAAATTCTACTATATTCTTTATGTTATAATCCTCAATTTAATAAATGAAATGTTTCTTCATCCTTATACCTCTGTCAAGGCATAAAGAAAACTACATAGATTTTATTTCCTTAATTTTCCTATTTTTATATTTATGCTAAAATAAAATTTACCTCTAAAATTCTCAATCACTATGATAGATGTTCACTATAAATAAGAACTTTGTAATTCCATAAGCAGCTTTCCTTAAGACATATGAAAACATTTCTAATTTTTATCTACCACTAAAGCACTCTAACTGCCTCTCAACATCTTTATACTCACAAAATATTTTTCCTTTTGATATTATATAAGTCATTCAGTACAGGTATTGTTATATGCATATTTGTGCATTTTTATTGAAATACCTATCCAATTACATTCTCACACTTCAAATGAAGTGTTCATGAATTATTTCTTTGTACCAGAATTTCACCATATCATTTATTGCTCCAAAAAGTATACAACTTCTAAAAAGAGCAGAAATTCTATTAAAGTTATCTTTAGCTAACTAGTATGTCCAGATTAATAGACATTACATTAGCTACAGTGACTGTTGTTCAAATTTCAAAAAAATGTCATAGTGCCAGATGTTATGTCCCAACTAGTTCATCTCTCCCTTAAAGTGACATTGTCTTTCTTTATAAAGACATGGTTTAAAACTAAGTGCTCAAAAAAGTGTTAGATGAAGTCAAATGGAAGAAATGTGAAAGATGTTTAAATCATGAAACATTAAGTCTTAAATGTGAAAGAACTAGAGTATTTGCTTTACTAAGAGGAATCACATCACTGCCATTTCCTAAAACTCAAATATCAAAACTATTTTAATAGTACTTTAGTAAACATAAGGAAAATAATTACATCTGGGCTATATATGAATACATATTATTTCTTAATCTCACTAATTAAGTAAAGACAGGAGAATTTTGCACAAATAAAATAGTACAAGAAAATAAAATTTTAATGTATTTAAAATGCTATATAATGTATAAACTATGTAATATATTAAAATTTTAATTGAAAAATTATAAATTACCTCTCTAAATTAGATATATTTATTTCCAATCCTAGAAATAAGGAGGGTAAATTAAAACTTCATTCTTAATTCTTAAAGAACAATTTTCTAAATGTACTATATACATAAATATTTCATTTGATCCTCTTAATTCCCTATATGTTTGATACTGCATCTCTATTTCACAATTTGGGAAACAGATACAAAAAGGTCAAATATTGCCCAAGGTCACAGAGCTAGAAAATAGGGAAACCTTGGCAAGAGCCTAGGTTTTGTGGCTTTAAACCACAGGGACATCCTATATTCTGATCAACATGGCTTAAAAACAAATCAGGACATTGGAAAACCAATATATATTAAAAATCCTCACATACTGTAAATGGTACTCCACAAGGCAAATCTAGAGAATACAAACTTCTATTTTAATTTAAAACCATGCCATTTCATTTGAAGTTAATTGATACATCAAGCATTATATCCTTAATAGCCTAAGTGATATTCTAATCACTTTCAATACCAAGAATATAAATTATTAGATGTCCTTATTAAGCAATATATTCTAAAAGGCAAAATTCCAAGTAATCATACAGACTTTAAAAAACAATAACATACCACAATCAATCAAACTGAAGTTTCCTTTTATTTGTTTCATTGTTAAAATACTTATGCCTTCACTCTATTCAGCCTCAACAACCCAAATCTAGGTTAGTATCTCCTCAAAACTTTTCACAAAAACCCCACTTTGGTACTTTATTCCATAGTTCCATATTAAATCCTTAGAATTCCTCAATTTAATTTCTCTCTCCCTTGTCCTACCCTTTAAATATCCAACCCCATTTGTTTTGAGGTACTTGAATCTTGTTTATTATTGATGCTATGAAAATCACTAACTTTCATCTAAACTGTGAATTAACACAGTGCTGATCACACTGGCAAAGGAATAAATCTGAATGTTGGGAATCAAGAAAATAATCCTTCTAAATTACAGTGGAATAAATCAGATAAGATTAGTCTCTTTGTACATTTCAGAAATAGTGTACCAATGTTCTTACCCTACCTAATTTTGAAGCATGTTTTAGCAAATGAACACATAAAAATGAATCTGGAATTATAGCGACACCTCAGTATACTCACAGTCAACTGAGGACCTCTAGTGGTTTTGAAAAGGTACTCCATCTTTAGGGCTTTCAAACAATGAACAATTCACTCACATTAATGGGGGTATATTTATTAAGAGCACACATTTTTCCTTAAGAGTTTACCAACACTCCCTTCCTACATCCTCTTCCAATAAAAACAAAAGGAATCTGATCCCAACTCCTATAGGGTTAAAAAGAGTATTTTAATTACAAATAAATTTTAAAGTATTGTTTCAACATTTGAAATACTAAACAGTAATGAAAACAAACCTACAAACAAAATAGCAACAGCAATGTGCCAACTTCACAGAGAAAATCTCTCCATGCTGTTGTTTAATGAATTCGTCTCAAGGCAAAGCTTTAAACCAAGGGAAACATTTCATTATAGGGTCAATTTAGGAGTGAGAATACATTGATTTTTAAGTGCATACAATTCTTTCCATAACCAGGAAGAAGCAGCTTGAAGATTCTTCAAACAGCCAGTCTGGACTAACAAAGCTCTGGAATGTTGCTGCCACAAAGTAACTTCAAATATAACTTCCAAGTTTAGTATTAGGCAATCTCAAAAGGAAATGATTCTACCAGAGTGAATTTTTATAAGCCAACAGATTGATCATAAATCTAATGATGAACTGTCCTAATTTATTACAAGTCAAAAAAAGATGCATACACAACCACTTCTGGCTTATATGTGGTAATGGCAGCAAGTAGTAGGAAAAAAAAAAAAAATAAAACATCAAACAATCCTAACAGAGACAAGTCCTGTTTATTCAAATTCAATTTACAGAGAATTCTAATCTTCTGAACCAATTAAATGGGAAAAAATTTAAAAATAATGTCAGACTGTAGTCTTCAATGTTTATTACTTGAATTAACTAGCAAAATATTCCCAAGTTCACTGAAAGAACAAATTTGAAAATTCTATATTCCACAATTAGATAAAGAATCTCAGGTATTTATTATTTCAACATAAGGAATAGCCCCCCAAAATTAAAGTTTGACAAGTTTTTCAAGGCATATTAAATTATAGGTGGGGATTCCTGCTCAGCATATACAACATGATTAAAGTATCAATTGTCTAGCAAGTCATAAAGCAGGCCACAAAAAATTCTCAAGTCTATTACAGTTCCTTTTAAACAAGAATGCATCTGATATTATGTTGGTAAAATAGGATGTACTGCAGACAAAGTAAGGATTCTTGAAGGAGTTTATATATAGTACCTTCCATCCAACATGTTGCCTAACCTAGTACATGTTTTGGAGTTGCCTATGGTTTTTCTCTTTCCTTCTTCCACCTAACCAAAAAAAAAAAAAAAAAAAATTCCCTACAAAAAAAAAATTATATATATATATATATATTATCTTGAATTTGTTTTTTAAATTTCCAGTGTTACCGTCTTTGAGGAAAAGAGCACAACCAAAAGCTTTATAAATCCAAAAAGAATAGTAAAGAGTTCTTTACTCTTTATTCTTCTCATCCCTCTAAAAAATAGAGTAATCATGGATTCCACAGACATACAAGATACTTTATGAGTACTTTTCTGCCTCTCACCTGCAACTCAAGAGACAAGGATCTGGCATTTCCACAACCAAACTCCTATCAATCAACTTTCATATTTTCAATATTTTGATTCTAGTCTCTGATGATTTAACTTTTAAATTCATCTGTAAATGTATACTCCCCCTGTGCCAAAACAACCAATTTACATATACTGTCATCCTTTTAATAAGGTGTGTGTGGGGGGGGGGACAGTGGGGAGTTAACTTCAGTCTCCATGGCTGTTTAGGCCAGATGCAAGATCAGAGCATGCCAACACAATATATTTCTGATTGGACTAAAAGAATGATCTAGTCTGGGCACAGTGCCTCCCATCTGTAATCCTAGCACTTTGGGAGGTCAAGGTAGGAGGATCATTTGAGGCTTGGAGTTCCAAGACCAGCCTGAGTAACACAGCGAGACCCTGCCTCTACAAAAAATAGAAAAAGTAGCTGGGCTTGGTGGCACATACCTGTAGTCCCAGGTACTAGGGATGCTGAGGCAGTAGGATCGCTTGAGCCCTGGAGTTTGAGGCTGCAGTGAACTATGATGATGCCACTGCAATCTACCCCAAGCAAGAGAGCAAGACCCACTCCACCCTCAAAAAAAAGAATGCTCTAGGCCGGGCGAGGTGGCTCACGCCTGTAATCCTAGCATTCTGGGAGGCCGAGGCGGGCGGATTGCTCGAGGTCAGGAGTTCAAAACCAGCCTGAGCGAGACCCCGTCTCTACCATAAAAATAGAAAGAAATTAATTGGCCAACTAATGTATATAATATAAAAATCAGCCGGGCATGGTGGCGCATGCCTGTAGTCCCAGCTACTCGGGAGACTGAGGCAGGAGGATCGCTTGAGCCCAGGAGTTTGAGGTTGCTGTGAGCGAGGCTGACACCACGGCACTCACTCTAGCCTAGGCAAGAAAGCGAGACTCTGTCTCAAAAAAAAAAAAAAAAAAAAGAATGCTCTAAAAATATCAGATAACATGAAAATAAAATTAAACTATTTTCTGTGCTTCCCATCAAATTTACTCTATTAAACCGGTTGGCAATAAGAAATTTATAAAAAGAAAAGACTGCAGGTCTTCTAAATTCATAGGGTGGTTGTCAGTGGAGACAGAAAAAAGAATGATAAACACCTGACAACCATGCCATAAATTATAATGTAGTAAAGGTCGGTAATAGACAACTTCAAAAATAAGATTGTGCTATTCTCACACAAAGCTTTTCAACTTCCAACATATGACAGGAAGCCCCATATTCTATGGATGAAATCTGTCTTAATTATTATGATAGAAAGTTTGGAAGTTCGGCAGAATTAGGACTCAACACATTTCAGATTATACCACTGTAAAATAAATTGAGCCCAATAAATTAAATGCATTTTAGCATGTAAAGCAGATTTGTTTTCGGTTTTAGTGTAAGACTAAAAAGTAACTACAAATCACTTTAGGATTATGACATATTTCTAAGTTTGACAAGAAACAGGACACTATCTTTGGTCATCTCCTTTACACTCTATTTAAAATAGTTTCCAAGAACAAATTCTCCTTTTTCAGTAACAGTTAGCTATTGCAGTTTTATGAGATCACCTTTAAAGTACGTTAATTATACGTTCAACAGTAGAGAGCTCATCTCTTTTGGGCATGCCTCTTTGTATTTCACAAACACCAAATATCCATTTGTACAAAGCCTATTTCAGATTAATGTTGTGTTAATCAGGAGACCATGAATTTAGGTAAATCTTCTGAGCCTCATTTTCCTTATCTGTGATAGGAAGAGACTTGAGAAGAATATTAGAGTTTATGCATTCAACATCAAACTCTCGTTATTCTAACCAGTTAACCTGTTAATCACAGCACTATCTTTGATCATTAACAATTTTCTAAAATTTTCACTCAAAAAATTCCCTTATTCAACTTTATTGATTTATTCAAATGGTACCAATTTATGCCCTACATACTAGGATACAAAATGAACACGTTTCTTTACTCATACTAAGAAGTCTCACTGGGGACACAGACACGTAAATTGAAATTATAACACCATCTGATAGATATCCTGATATAAGCAGCACTAAAGCCCTACTAAAAACCAGTAGAGGTGATAACAAATTCTACCTAAATGACTTATGAAAGGTTTTATTGGAAGTGATATTTAAATTGGGCCTCTAAGCTGAAATTTGCTTGGCAGAGAATCAAAAGGTAGAGGCGGGCGGAGTGAGGCATTCCAGGCAGAGACAGAACAACATGTGCAAAGGACAAAATCATAAAAGGGAATAGAGTATTTATGGAAAGCTGACATGTTTCATGAGACTGAAGTACCATTCATCAGTGTCAGGGTAGAGGATGAGTCCTATATATGCTTTGTGATAAACTCGTGGCCATCTCCCTCCTTTTCCATGTTTTACCTCAAAATAATGTTTAAAACTCAGATCTTTTAAGACTATTTAAGCTCTGAAACCTCTACAAAAATGTAAGTTCAAATAGAAATTACCAATGTTAATGCTTATTCTTTTCTTAACTGTTACTCAGATTAATACAATGCAACTAGGCAAATACATAAAGGAATAAAGAAAATTTTCCCATAATTTTCCAACAGTATAAATTGACTAGATCTATAAGCAAATATAAGCAAAAGCAACTTAAATGATGCATCATCTTAAAGAACAAGAGAAAAATCTGTTATTTCTATAGTGTTTTATCTGAAGAATTCAAATAAAAGTAATTAAATTAAATATATACCAGCCAGGCACAGTGGCCCATGCCTGTAATCCCAACACTTTGCGAGGTAGAGGCAGATGCAGGAGAGGATCACTTGAGCCCTGGGGTTCTGGGTTACAGTAAGCTATTATCGTGTAACTGCACTCTAGCCTGGGCAATAGAGTGAGACCTGTCTCTTAAAATAATAAACAAACAAACACATACCAAGTTTAAGCTGCCATTTTCTAAGTAAGGAACATTATAGATAAATTAAGTAACAACCTTTAGCCACCTGTTTGAACAATAAAGAATATACACTAGAGAAATATAAGGTGCTTCTAATTCATTAAAAAAATGAGGTTTGATGTAAGTTGGCTGTTTGGAACTCTTTGCTGCAGGCCAATATTATGAAAGAGGACAGAGTCCCAGGTCAAATGATATAGCCCAATCTATAATACAATTCAAAATATAAGAAAGCTAAGTTGAAATACTGAAACCTACAGAATCTAAACACCATTTATTTACTACATGGTTTCTTTGTAAAGTAAATATCAAGCTCTAACTGGTCATGCCTGACACATATCTTCCCCCCTTTCACATATTTTCAGTACTCTCCTTTGCTCTCTTCTTCACTTGTCTCTCTCAGGAAAGGGCTGACAGGTTGAGATGGGCTTTTAAGGGATGTATAAAGACTAGGTAGAAAAAGAAATTTGGCAGCTGGGGTAGGGTAACAATATCTTGATTAATAATATATCAACAAATGATAATAGTGATTATCTCTGGACAGTTAAATTATGAGGTTTTTTTTACTCTATTCTTAATTTTTCTTATTTTAAAATTCATACAGAAGTGTTCTGATTTAAAATGAAATATCCCCAAGTGTCAATAGCCATTATCTCTAGCTATTAACAATGTATGGTCAATATATGGTTAATTTTTAATCTATATCTAATTTTTCTATAATGATATTTGTTATGTTTTTATTTTGTTTTGTTTATTAGTTATCAAAGCTTAGGCTCCACAGGCAGCAGTAGCTTGTGGGAGCTCTGAAAGAAGGCAAGATGGAAACCACTGCTCTTGAGCACAGGTCGTCTATAAATAGAAACTGCCTGTAATAAATAGTAAAATAAGATAACAATTACTATGCCTTCCAAGCCTGAAGTCTTCAACACTTAGTATCAAAGCTTGTTAAATGTTATTTAAAATAATATTCTACAAAGCTATAAAATCATAATAAGGAATGACAAACAATTTGAATTTATATTTCCAGTAAAACACTTTTTATTTAACTATTTTATTTTGGACCAAAATTAAGATCCAGTAAATAATCTGTTATATGCATTTTTTTTTTTTAACATAGCTGTAGAAAATGAAATGCATTTCTTTTTTATAAGATTGGCTCTGCAGCTATTAATACACTAAATGTTCACACCAATTATGTCTAGAGAGGAATAGACTTAAAGAAACTATATGTAAGAACTTTGCCCCAAACAAGGTGCACCCTAAACCAAATATAGCAGGTCCTCGAATAACACCTTTCCTTCAACATCGTTTCACTGCAACAGTGTAACTGTCTGTGTGAAGTTTGCACTGTTCTCCCGTAGCTCTGTATGGGTTTTCTCTGGGTACTCCTATTTCCTCCCACATCATAAAGGTGTGCATGTTAGGTGAACTGGTGTGTTTAAAGTATCCCAGTGTGAGTGAATGTGGGTGTGTGTTGAGTGTGCCCTGAGACAGGATGGCAGCCTGTCCAAGGCCGGTTCCTGACTGGCACCATGAGCTGCCAGGAAAGGCTCCAGCCATCTGTGACCCTGAGCTAGAATAAGTGGGTTGGGAAATGAATAGATGAATAAAAATTATTGTCAAATAAAAATTTGTGAAGTCTATGATAATCACACAAACGCACAACAATAAATGAGGCAGTATGAAAGCCCTCAGTGAGCTAGCCATTTCTATTGTTTTTGATCTGCATGGAGATCAGATTCCTGACAATTTTCACTTTGCAAACATTTATTCCTTGAATTAACCGACCACCAATACAGCTGCTGTCACTCACTGATTCACCAAAAATTGGGTAAATATCTTTATTAATCTTTCTTACATATATAGCTCCCATTTATTTCAATGTTTAATATTAGAAGCACGTAGTCAGGTACAGTGGCTCATGCTTGCAATCCTAGCACTTTGGGCGACTGAGGTGGAAGGATTGCTTGAGGCCAGGAGTTTGAAATCAGCCCAGGCAACACAGCGAGACCGTGTCTCTACAAAAATTTTTTTAAATTAGCCAAGAATGGTGGTGCTCACCTGTACTACTATCTAGTGGTGAAGCTGAGGCAGGAGAACTTCCTGAGCCCAGGAGTTTGAGGTTGCAGTGAGCAATGACTGTGCTACTGCACTCCAGACTAGGCAGCAGTGCAAGATCCTATCTCAAACAAAGAGAAAAAAAAAATCTATCTCCTTGAGTGTGAGTGTGTGTGTGTGTGTGTGTGTGTGTGTAGCATCTTGGATCTTTATTTGGAAGTTTAGTGATGTTTTTGTGACCAAATATATGCCACAGGGACTTAATTCTCATTTAATATCAATTAGCCTAGGGTAAAACTGGTTTCCTTATACTTGGTTTTACTTAAAGACACAATTTCTAAGAACCCATCAATGATATTAAATGAAGACTTACTATAACACTTCTAGTCATTTTGGGAGAAGATGACAAAGACTGACGTTACAACATTCCAAACACAACACAAATGAGACTGCCATGGTGTACTACACAGAAAAGGACAAAGAGACACATGTAGAAACACATGCACATATACAAACACACACACACACACACACACACACACACAGACTATAGAGACATTTGATGTTCTGAATACAGTAGTGCTGAAGAAGATGAATTCATGCAAAATTTCTCAGAGTACCTGTTCAGAGAATACGATACACACAGGACTCTAATCCATTTACTCTTTTTACATTCCAGGCCACCTAAAAGAAGACAGTTATCTCACGTTTGGCTGCCAGCTTTTTATCTCTCTCTTGATCATTTAAAACTTCAGACTTCCTGCCTTCCTGGTGTCATGGAGAAAGTCCAATACCTCACTCGTTCTGCTATAAGAAGAGCCTCAAATATTGAAATGCCTCAACAAGCACGTCAAAATTTCCAGAACCTATTTATCAATTTCTGTCTCATTTTAATATGCCTCTTGCTGATCTGCATCATCGTGATGCTTCTCTGAAGTTCTGCTGCAACCTCCAGATCTGCAATTTACCACATCAGCTTAAAATCTGTCATCCCATGAAGAGGGGGAAAACAATACTGTATAATAGGACACTTCCAGAGTAGAAGAATTTCTTTGTGAAAAAGTCAAGATTAGAGTAAAACAAATTGTTAGCAAATGTATCCATCTGCTGGATCTTGTAAACATGGAAAGGGCTTTATTTTCAAAAATTAATAACTTTAAAATGACTATAAGTATGTAAAATGTAACTCTTGATTTATTTCCTCAACATGATTTATAAATTTCTATCCCAAATCTTTTCTAAAGATGAAATAGGAGTTTAGTTTTAAAACTGCACTGGTAACAAGTTCAGTTCATATATAAAGCATTAGCTTCACTCTTTGAGGAAAATATAATTTATATTACATTGTAAAAGCTTCTTTGAAACTTAGTATTTTTCAAGTCTTCAACAAGTATCAAAATAATAATTCTAATGAAGTGTCACTATTCAAAATAGCACACTGACTCCTCACATGTGTTATCTTTAGTATTATTATTATACAAAACTCTTTTATAGTAACTCTTTATCAGAACCTACATTCTAATATAGAAATTGGTATTGCTTTTCTATACCATATTAACATTTTAAAAGTTTACAAGAATCAGGTAGGGAAAATGCCATACTCTTGTATAAATAAAATTTCTCTTAAGTAATGATTTCAATGAATTATAGAATTCTAGTACATGTAAGTAAACCATAAATCTGTTCTCTCTAGGACATTATGATTAACAGATGAGAACTGGTGGTTAATTTAATATCTGACAGTGTGATAGCCATAATTACTAATATAATAATAGAACAGGTCGAACCTTCATTTAAGGCACTGTAGATGATTATCTGAGCTAGAGTACTTAACTTGTCATATTATATTTTTGGAGTCATGAAATCTTAAAACTTCAGTATGACTTTATAGGTTGTCTTCTATTCCAACCTCATACTCAATGTAGGCATGGAAAAGAATAAAAGATTTCTAATTACTGAAAAATATACTATTTCAAGCATTTTAAAAATAAAAATATGAATTCTTTCTCCAAATACTAATTCTTAGATTTTATTTTGAAATCAACTTTTTATACTATTATTTATATAGTTGACCCTTGAACAACATGGGGGTTAAGGAGCATTGACAATCCATGTATAACTTGACTGACTCCCTAAAAACTTAACTACAAATAGCCTGGTGTTGACCAGATGCCTTACCAATAACATACACAGTCAATTAACACATATTTTGTATGTTAAATGTATTACGTACTGTTTTCTTACAATAAAGCAAGCCAGAGAAAGAAAAACGTTACTAAGAAGATCATAAGGAAAAGAAAGTATGTTTACTATTCATTAAGTGGAAGTGATCATCATAAAAGTCTTCATCCTCGTTGTCTTCACATTGAGTAGGCCAAGGAGGAGGAAGATAAGAGGTTTGTCTTGCTACCTCACAGATGGCAAAGGAAGGAAAAAATCCACATATAAGTGGATCCTAACAGTTCATACCTGTTGTTCAAGGGTCAACTGTAGTAGAATATACTATTTTCCTTTATCTATCAACCAGATGATAAACACTTATTTTGTAGGCTACTCTACCAAACTAGATTATACATCTGGGAATCGTAATCCATAATTATTTTCTTTCTGAATACATTTTCAGTTTCCCCTCTGATCATTTCAAAACATCTTCTAACAACTCGTAAAATGATAAAAGTAAAAATTAGTGCTGGAAAATATATTCACCAAGCTTTGATAATTTAAGTTGACCCAAGTTTAAAATTAAAACTAAAATAGTTTACACCTATACTGTATAATCTAACAATTCTAATTTCAGTTCAAGACATGTAACTAATATAGCAATTATTAAAGGAGTAGAGAATGTGTAATTAACCATATCTTCTAAAATATGATTACTAAAAGAATATGAAATAGTCAATATTGACGTTGGTTTCTAACACAAGTATTGCTAACTAAATAGTGAAGGTGACACTGCTTTTAAGTATTCTGAATCCCTAAGAGGTAACAGAAATGGGGAGGGGAAGGGAGTCTGGTTCATAGATAGCTGAAGAACAGAGGCAAAGGGATTTCTTAAGTGAAGCCTCACCTACAGATGAGATCCCTAATAACAACCAGAAAGCTTATAAATAACAAATGATATACTCACTCCACTATTCTCAGTAAATTAACCAATAAGTATTCATGTTCTATAATTAACTACACTGATATTAAAAACTGAAAGTTTTGAACTAGTAAGTCCTATTCTTTTCATCACATTGTTCATTACAACATTAACTTCAAACTATTAACTGTGATGTTGTGGGCTTTTCCTCAGTAAAACAGAAATAAAGAATTTTTTTGTTCTTCATTATGTCCTTGATAGAAATTAAAATCTTACACTGTGAAGATTATAGAATATAACTCAGATTATGATACAGAACAGAAAACCTATTCTTTAAATTAAACTTATTTATTCTATCATGATGTGTAAAAAATAAGACATATGGGCCGGGTGTGGTGGCTCACGCCTGTAATCCTAGCACTTTGGGAGGCCGAGGCGGGCGGATTGCTCAAGGTCAGGAGTTCGAAACTAGCCTGAGCGAGACCCCGTCTCTACCAAAAATAGAAATAAATTAATTGACCAACTAAAAATATATATACAAAAAATTAGCCGGGCATGGGGGCGCATGCCTGTAGTCCCAGCTACTCGGGAGGCTGAGGCAGTAGGATCGCTGAGCCCCGGAGACTGAGGTTGCTGTGAGCCAGGCTGACGCCACGGCACTCGGCACTCACTCTAGCCTGGGCAACAAAGTGAGACTCTGTCTCAAAAAAAAAAAAAAAAAAAAAAAAAGACTAAGACATATGAAAACAATGTATTTTAAAATTTTAAATACTAAATGTTCAAATACTTTCTACTATGGAATGAATTCTAATTTTAATTTACAGGGTACTAAAAAACAACTAATTTTTAAATGTTTAATGTCGCCCTTTATATTTTAATTGGTTAAAAATGTTTTGTTTAATGCAAACCATCAAAATTATCTACATTAAAATGAATGTTCTTCTTCAATTCAGTTAAATTATAATATACTTATGATTGACACTGACTATAAAATATTCTAATTATAAATAGTTTTGATTTTGTAGGGGTCTTTTTTTGGTGACTTTTTTCCAAATAAAATAAAATCAAAACTTCCTAGTCTAGACACAAGAGGGCAGTCTAGACACAAGAGGGCAGACCTATATAAAGTAATGAATTTGCTACTACCTATCTAGACACTACTTATCCTTTGATTATTTTTGAGTCTTCTGGCAAAGTGGGAATGTAATAAATTTTCTAAAAAGATCTTCTCTGCCACTAAGTAATAGCACACTTTAAAACGTCTAGAAATTACATGCTAATATTATATAGAAAAGTTGACAGATGAAAAAGTCAAACATATTATAACATATAAAAATATATATATAAATCATTTATATACTTTATATATTTTTTAACTACCAAAGGAATGTGTCATATCCTATCTAAGATAGAGTGTCATAGTGTCCACATCTTTGATACTGTTATCTCAAATAGTAAAAAAATTAAAGACAAAATAGGTGACATTTTAAAATAAGAATAAAAATATTAAAACTATTTCTTTTCAGAGGACGTAATAGAATACATAAAACACTCCCAAGTTAGACATAAAATTTTCATTCTTACTTCATGTTAGACAAAAACAAAGTTATTTAATTTAAGTCATTTTATCAATTTTTTTATTTCTGTAAGAGAAAATTTTTAGTAAAATATATTGAAATCATTAGGTGCCCTACCTTGATTAAAATACTTTTATAATTTAAATAGGCATGAAATTTAATCTCCTCTTTTTAATGACTAGAACCCAGAGTTTAGAAACACTCTAAGGAATGTAAGAGAAAAAAGGATAAATAACTTTGTCAATAAAGAGAGCAGTACTTCACCACTGTCTGGGAGATCCACTGTGGGCTTATAAGAATCTAATGGATATTGCTGTCAGGTGTAGAAGTACACATCCATTCCACCCCCTCCAAAAAAGGCAACACAAGGGGGACATGGAAAGGGAGCATTCTTCCCAAAGACTTTGTTTTTTTCTTCTGTCACAGTCTATAGACTCAGAAAGCTTATGGGGGTGGGGGGACAGGAGATAGAGGTATGATAGATTACAGAGGAAAAAAACAAAGACTAGTGGTGGACATTGCACATGGAGCCCTATATCCTGATTATCTGAGGGCATAATTCACAAAGTAAAATGCTTCAGAGAACTACACTACCAGCACTCTAGATGATCAAGGAACATCACCACGCACATAAGACTCTATGGCTGGCTCAATATAATTACTCTGGACTGAGTCCTAAAAATAGCAAAACTTCCATGTTAAAATTAACTTTGGGGAGGAGAGGGGAAGGAGGTTATAAGGATCAAATGAAATAAACCACTCTAAGAGCTACAAAGCTCTATATAAATCTATATATTAGATCATAACTTTTGGCCAAATTCCTAAGTTGTAAAAAAAAAAAGTTTTTTCTCATGGTTAGAGTTTAGCAGTTATGCTTAAAAATCACAATTTATCAGATGAGCTGATCCATATTAAGGTTCTTCTCTTTATGTAAAAGTTATATTAACAGGAAGTCAAGATTTCAAAGAGACTTTTAATAAACAACTATGATGACAGCTTTTAAAACAGATTACTTGGTGGCTCCAAGGAGAAGGTATTTAAGAACTTTTTTCTGCAGTAGTCCAAGAAGGAAATTAGAAGGGAAGCAGTCATTTAATGATTACAACTGAAGTGTCTAGTTTTCTTCACCTGGCTTCATCTTTCCAAAATTTAAAAGCAGTATAATGAGACCATTCCCAATATGATTAATCAAGAAGTAAGGCTTTCCAGGGATACGTGCAAATTTTGTCCATTAGTAGCCTTCTCCCTTACCACACACTAGGAAGAAAATTTAAAAATAAAATTTTCTCTGCAATGTACTTCCAACCCCATATCCTCTCTGCTTCAACATTAGGGAAAATCTTGTTTAAGGTACATCAAAACAAAATGAAAGGAGTGAATTAGTGCTCACTCCTTCAAATTTTCCCAATTTTCTCAGTTATCTTTCTCACATACCTGCTTCGCCTTGGAATAAGTATACTTAGCCCTCCTGAACAGCTCCAATTCTGTATAAAGACATTAGCTGGAGAAACAACTGTCTGATCCCTGTTCTCATATAAATCACAAGCATTTAAAAAACTAAAATGTGATAGTATTTGAAAAATTAGGTTTCCTATCTTTCAATCACTTGAACTGATAAATCACAAATAAATTTGTAATCCAATCATAATGATCTCCTGTTTTGGTTATGTGGTTTAAAAATATATAATAAGATTATAAGAACTGTGTCTAAAGCAAGAATAAAGAAGGTACATGGGATATGTTAACGGTTCTCCTATGAATGTAGCACATTAGGCTGTATGTATGTTTTGAGACTGCACTCAAGATTTGTGAGGTTTCTGGATGAGTGATCTCCTTATTGTTTCATAGATTATATTCTTTTATTCTTTATTAATTTTCATTAGTAATTTAATGAATAGTAATTTAAATGAATAGTAATTTAATGAATAGTAATTTAATGAATAGTAATTTAAATAGTAATTTTTTACTCTAGGGAAATTCTATCATTTTTGTTCAAAATAATTTGTTTCAGAAAATTCTGATAAATAAAAAATGAATGACAAGATTTTTGTCAGAAAATTGGTTTCTTTGTTAAAATAAGCTGTAGAAAATTATCTTGGAATAGAAACATTTCCAGATTAAGAAATTCATACATTTACATGTTATTCCCTAGGGCTATTAAGAGCTATATTCTATTTTTATTTATATATGGTATCAACATAAAGTGCTTACTTTAAACTGTTTAACAAATAAATCTTGATACCCAATTTAATTTTTTAAACAAGCACATCTGATTTATAAACCTCAATACATTTTCAATGATTATAAAAATTTTACAAATGACTGTAGTTTCCCTTTCTCATTTTATAGATGAAGAAACTGAGGCCCAGAGAAAGTACTGACAAGTCAAGAATCATCCAGCTTCTAAATCTTACAGAACCAGAAACAAAATCCAAGATCTCATACCCTCAAGTTAATGCTCTATTATACTATGTAAGCTTTTAGGTTTTGTTTACAAGTTTCTTTAGATTGAATAAATTTTGCTTTCTTTATTTTTATGCCCATTTAACAAATGAAAAGGAAAGACCAAGTTAGATATAAAGTTTTAAGTTTTTCATGTTAATTAGTCTCAAATGCTTTGTAAATTTTGTTTACCAACACAACACTTTAAGTTTATAATATTTCTGCTTATTAACTTATAGAGGAAAGGAAAAGCAAAACAATGTGACTGTGGACACTGTCATATGCTTACTGCAAGTGTACGACTGTACTCATAACATCCACTAGAGGGAAGCAAAGATTAAATTTTGAGCTTTACCTGCATTGGTGTTTCACTTCCTGGTCGAAACTCTTCAATTTGCTGCTGTTGCCAAGGAGCTAAACTGTAAGAGTCCTCTGTAGTTCTACCTTCCAAAGGGTTTGTCCGCAATTGTTCTGTAAGCCACATCTGAGTCCTCACAGAAGGCTGAATGGGAACTCCATCTACTGCCTGTTGACCAAGCATTAAATATTTTGGAGATTCAAAACTCTCTGATTTCGCCATAATGGGCTTGCTTTCAGGTAAGGCACTATATGTCATGTCTAAGGTTTGTCTCCTAAGAGCAGAGGAAGAGGTTTTAAAGTCCTCTTTGCTGCAGCTCTCAAATTTATACTTGCAGTCCAGAGTTGATGACCGTTTTTTATTTATTTCCTTGTCCTCTAACTTAAGCATCTCCATACTATCATGTAAACAGCTAGACCCAACTGTCCTTCGTTGTGATATTAAAGCCTTGCCCCTCCCTGTTTTTTCCAAACCATTCCTCGACTCCTGTGTGTGTGCAGTGCCACCCTGGCTGCAGTTATCTGGGGCAATGAGTTTGGATAAAGATGCCCATTTCCGAAGGGGTCGGAAGTCCTTCATGTCTAGTGATGAGTCCTGCTCCCCCCTACTGTGGCTTCCCAATGTCTGCATGAGGCTTGTACTCCATGGTGAGCCATCTGATGTCAAGGATTCCCTATGTTTGGAAATTGAAGCGCTGGAATTAGACGGCATCACATGAGCAGTAGGAAGAGTAATCAATGATCGACTAGGCTTAAAAGATAATGTGCCACTTGAAGCTGAATGATCTGGAAAGAGAAAAGATTGCCAAATTAGTTATAATTAAAAGACGAAATAGAATGAGGTAAAATATGAAATGCAGCACAAATTTTTCAGAGGTACTTCCTCAAAATGAGGAATTATTATTATTCCTTCAGGTTTATCTGAAAAAAGTCAAATATGCTTTCAAACATTATTTTCTAAATATGAATACATAATAAAGATATGCCCTTTTACTATCTATTATACTTATAGATGAAAAATGATTCGAAAACAGGTTTATATCTACCCGATTTAATCAAAGTATTGTGCCTTTAAAAGAAAAAGAATCCATCTCCCTATTGAGAGGTCTTAGTCATAGTCCAGCACTGAAGTCTCAGAAATAACTCTATCTGAAAATGGTATTTTTCAGTGTATTTCCTGAACTGTGGAAATCAATGCCAAAGGTGAACATTTCAGCACCTCCACAAAATATTCAAATTAGAAATATTAGTAAAGGAGCTCCTGCAATAATAGAAAATAATCAGAAAGATTCTAGAAATATATTTGCAGAGAAAGAGAAGTTCCTAAGCTTCCAGTCTTGCTTAATGGCATCATCAATGATATATATCCCAAGCTAGAATTTTGGAGTCTACTTTGATTCCTATCTTCTTCTTTACATTTATTATATCCTAAAGTTGTAAATTTTTACTTCCAAAATGGCTGAAAATCTATCATAGGTCATGCCCTCACATCATACTAGTCTATACTCAGAAATAGTTTTAATAGGCTCTATAAAAGACCAAAAGATAAATAAGAGCTTCCATATTCATTGAGCTTATTACCATCATATTTGCCAAATTAAAACCAAAGATAATTTTGTAATCAGAGTAGGAGACTAGGAAATAGGGCTGAGACAGGATGCAGGGGCTTCAAGATTGGGTGCAGATATTAAAGTAAACAACGTTAAACAAAAGGGGCTGATAACCACAGGCAAGAACCAGCTTCAACCAGCTTGTTGGCTATCTGTCACCTTACATGAACTTTGGCTAATTACAGTATCCTTTACATTGTGGTTTTAAAATTTCCCCACCCTTGAAATCGCCATGACATCAACCATCGCACGGTTGTTCTGAGACAACTGCATAAAGTAAGAAAATGGGAGGAAACCCAATTCTAGGAATTAATACCCAAATTCTTAGTGAAATCCAACCCCGTGGCCTTAAACATTTCTCCCCTCAATTACTAAGACTACAAAAGATCTAAAACCGCTTCCTCCCAATGCAGCTGCTCTCTTTTGAACCTGCCTACTCTCCTCCCTAAGAGTATACTTTTGCTTTCATTAAAAGGCTGTCATTTGTTTGACTTGCATGGTGCATCCTGAAATTCTTTTCCCTATGAACACCAAAAACTTAGAAAAACCTGCACCTATAAACTGGTAATATCTTTGTGGCCAGCCAGCCAGCAAACACTGCATAAGCCTTGATTGTCATATCATACTTTGAGGGAAGTACATTCTTGTGTCTCATCACTTTTGCAGTTTCTCAGTGAGTTACAGGTACATAACCTTGCTCTATCTGGCTGATTGTGGCTCCCCCTTACCAAGGTGGCAGAGGGTCTCTCCTCAGGCCATGCAGATTCAAACTATCACCAGACATTGAGTGACAACAGCCTAGGAAACTGACAGAGGACTTTCTCTGTGCCATGCAGGAGTCCAAATACTGACTCCTAAATCATGGCAATTCTATGCCTAGCTTCTTCTGTTAGACCTCATTCTTACTTCTCTGTACTGCTTCCCCATATTTGGGGGCAAGATGCACGTGACTTACTATTCCACCTTACAAGGCTTGGATGCCCCTACACTGCTTGCCCTTATAATGTTAGCCAATCTCCCCCTATTTCCTGTGTTTGTACTAAGTTTTTGTGGAAGGATTATAGGGATAGACAAGATGACCCAAAGGAAAGGGAACTTGGACTATGGTCTTGCCTGATCAGACACTTGATTGAATGGCACAGAGTAGAGGTACTTTGGGATAAAAGAACTCCTATGGAGGTCAGCTCCCATTTACAGAGACAATACTTGATGACATCAAATGTTACATGAAGAATAAAAAAGGAGCCTTCAAGACTCAGAAAGCTCTATTCCCTTTAACCACCTGTCAGGGTTAAAAATGCTCCATAAGACCTAGAAGAGAAGATAATGGAATTATCAGAAGTCTTGGAACCTTAGAGATGCCACTTCCAGAGCAATACATCCCAGCATAGGAGCACTAATAATTAGACATAGTCCATACCTCAAGCCCCTAGACAATTCCTGACTCCAGCCACCATGTCCGCAGATGCTGGGAAGGGGAAGGTCTCCCCTGGGGCGTGACCACCAGCGTGAGGAGTGTCCAGCAATACATGCGACCATGGACACTGTTGCAATGGGTAAAAGGCAGGGGAGAGGACAGGGACGCCTATGGCCTCCCCCTCACCCATGAGCCCCCTATGGCTCTATTATTACTCCAAAGAGCCTCCGGGAAACTCCATTATAACCCCTTCCTTTTTCTTCTTTTCTTTCAGGTCTTGTCTAGAGAGCCAAAGAAATAGGCAACACCCTTTCCTTTAAATAAGATAGCATAAAAAAAAACTCTTATTCCTATGTTACACTACTTGGCCCTAATATAAGCTGAGTGACAGAGAGGTCTGGCCAGTCAACGGGAAACTAAACTATAATACTATCCTCCTATTAGACCTCTTTCGCAAACAACAGAAGAAATAATCCAAAATTGCTTATGTTCAGACATTTATGGCCTTATAGGAAAACCCAGAGGCACAACAAGCTTGCATCCTAGCGCAATGCCATGTAAAACTGGATGTTCCCAAGTCCCTTTATATAAACCTTGCACCTTCTTTTAACCCCAGTTCAGCAAACTCTGAAGCCTCCTCAGAATCTCGGAAGCAGGGAGAGAACCCTTGAGGCAATTCCAGCTTCTGCCCCTTAACCCCCACCCTACCCAATGATAGATTCTCAATAACCTGGCCCTGGACTCCTGTGTCCTTGAGATGAGAGACCAGAGACAAGACAAGATGAGACCAGAGACAAGACAATCTTTTGGCAGTAGTCAAAGGCAAGCCCCGGCCACCTCAGAGCCACCTTAACCATCCTGGAAGAGGATATATAGAAAGGAGACTGCAGTTTGAATCTGTGGGGGGTTTGAGGTGAGTGGTGAAAGGCAATTTTCACAATTTATTCTATATATTCCCATATTGTTTGACTATTATGCCAGAACATATTTAATTACTGTGTGCTCTGATGTTGTTTTTTAAAAAATAGAGTAATAACAAAAGATACGTTGATTAAATCGTAAAAAAAAGTCAGATGAGAATGAGCCAGGCAGACTAAAACAGAATTCCAGCTGATCTATGTACAGAATTTGTTTACCTGGAGTTAAAAATGGAAACATAATATATTACAGGTGTAGGAATATGAGCAAAATTATTATAGTGGGTATTTATTAATATCATAGTCAAAGCTGCCTATTAGCTTCTGAAGAACCTTTCTGTATTTAGGAAAATTCTCACACTATTGAGTACAGCCTCCCAAAATAAATTTCAGACCTCAGTTTCCCAACATATCCTGTAACAACGATGCAGAGATTCAAAAGCACCAGCACAAGATTTCAGTTTGGAAGTGAGTCTTATAAGAAAGTGGGCTCTATGTGGAGCTACCACTTTTTGGCTGGTATAGGCAACAGCAGAAGCATTACTTTTCCACAATGGCAGGGGCAAAGGAGGCTCCACAGTAGCTACAGAAGTGGCAATAGTTAGGCAGGTTGGTGGACAAAAGAGTAACAGCTCTCAGATGTGATTTGAGGCATACTGCCTGGAAGCTTAACCTTAAGCCTGGCTCTCTAGCCCTCCCCAAAATTCTGTGAAGTACCAAATATCCTTAAATAAATTCACCATCTGCTCAATCAGCCAGTCAGCTTCTTCTGCTGATTAAGAACTTTGAATGATCCAAGTATGAAGCTAGAAGAATATGGATCTACAAGAAGAAAAACAAATTATTCCATTCGTCTATAGCATGGAGTTAAGTGCCAAGAAAAGCTGCTCAAGGTAATTCTTGAAAAGTAAAGGTGAAATAGAGTTGTACAAATCTTCACTTCCTCTGCTACAAAAAAAAGAGCCTGGCCTTCATTCAGCATGAAATGTGATATCACTGACTTTCTAAACAAAGGAACGAGTGGCATGATCAAAGCTGTACTTAAGATGATTATTCCAGTAGCAGAGTTATAGATGGATTAAAGCAAAATAACTGGCAACCTGACTGATTAACAGACTGTATCAGGAATCAGTAGAACAAGAAAATAGGGGGGAATATGCTACTGAGAGTTGGTTCTAAATATAATACGAACAGAACAAATGTCCACAAAAGCTTATGGAATATTTGATTTATATAGTATTACAAGATATTTTTACATATATATTTGCATTAATATTTCTAAAGGAATTTTTGTGTTAAAATTATCATAGCCCCTAAAAATATCTTTACATTAAAAAAAAATAAAAACAAGTTTTATATCAAATTTGAAATTTTCAATATTTTACATTTAAAAATTGCAGGTAAACCAAAGCAAGAGGCTCACTTGAGCCCAGGAGTTTGAGACCAGCCTGGGCAATAGCAAGACCCCGTGTCTACATAAAATAATAAAAAGAACTTAGCAAAGCATGGTGGTGTACACCTATAGCCCTAGCTACTCAGGAAGCTGAGGCAGGAGGGTCACTTAAGCATAGGCTTTTGAAGTTGCAGTGAATTATGATGAGGCCACTGCACTCTAGCCCAGGCAACATGGTGAGATCCAATTTCAGGAAAAAAAAGATTGCAGGTAAAGATATAATGGAAAGGTTAAATATTAATAGTTTTGAAATCAGCATTTATAGATTCATAACCTGGCTCTACCACTTAGTTGTTATGTGTGCTCAAATAAGTTATTTAATATTCTTGCATCATAAAGTATAGATGACAACACTGAGAATTAAATGAAATAATATACATAAAGTACTC